TGATACAAATATATGTCTCATTCCAAAAGTGGACAAACCGAATCAGATGAGTCAGCTACGTCGTATTAGTTTATGTAATGTGAGCTACAAGATAATTTCTAAGGTCCTATGCCAGAGATTAAAAAAGGTTTTACCAGATCGGATATCAGAAACCCAGTCAGCCTTTGTTGATGGGAGATATATATCTGACAATATTATGATTGCTCAGGAGCTGTTTCATGTCTTAAGAACCAAACCGAGTGGACGGAACAAGAGAATGGCCATTAAAACAGACATGAGCAAGGCATACGATAAGATGGAGTGGTCTTTTATCAAGGCTACCATGAGAAAGATGGGCTTTTCAAAAATCTGGATAATATGGATAATGAGATGCGTAACATCAGTAAATTATAAGGTCTTTATGAATGGCCAGCCAAGAGGGAATATTGTTCCGGCAAGAGTTCTAAGGCAGGGGATCCTCTGTCCCCTTTCATATTTATTCTATGCACGGAAGTGCTCGTTAGCCTTCTAAATCACGCAGAGAATCAAGGGAAGATAACGGGGATGCGGATCACGCATGCATGTTCTTCGGTATCTAACCTTCTCTTTGCTGATGATAGCTTGTTCTTTTGCGAAGCCCCGTGAATGTGAAGAAGTAATGAAAGTGGTCATGAGATATGGGAATGCGTCAGGTCAATGCATTAATTTTGATAAGTCATCTCTACTCTTTGGTAAGAGAATCAGACAGGATGTTAGACAAGAGATTAAAGACACGCTTGGTATTCAGAATGAAGGAGAAATGGGAATTTATCTAGGAATCCCAGAGGACATCAGTGGATCCAAATGCAATCTTTTTGCCTTCTTAAAGGATAAGCTGAGGAATAGAGTAAACGGATGGACGGGAAGGTGGTTGTCCAAAGATGGCAAGGAAGTAATGATTAAGTCGATCCTACTAGCACTCCCAACTTATGTAATGTCCTGCTTCCTTCTCCTGTTGGAGATCTGTGATGCTTTAGCTAGTGGCATTGCACAGTTTTAGTAGAGTTCAAATCCCCCAAAAAGAGGTATACACTGGTCAATATGAGATAAGTTATGCTTATCTAGAGAGGAAGGAGGGATTGGATTCAGAATGATTCACGAGTTTAACCTGACATTGTTAGCAAAGCAGTTATGGAGACTGGTCCAACGCCCAGACTCTCTAGTAGCTCGAGTCTTGAGAGGTCGATATTATCACTTAAGCTCGCCCTTGCGTCAGCTTACTGTCAGCAACCCATCGTATGTGTGGACAAGTATATCGGCGGCACGAGAATTACTATTGCTGGGAGTTAGGCAGAAAATACATTCGGGTTATGAGGTGAAAGTATGGGAAGACCCATGGATTCCTACTGTACCAGCGAGGTCAGCGGCCCCATCCGCACCGATGTTGCATCCGAACATGAGAGTGAGTGATCTCATCAATCAAGAAACAAAGTCTTGGGACCTGGGACGGTTGGAGAACTATGTAGATGCGGCAGATATATCACTCATGAGGAGCATGGCCATTAGTTCAACACATAGGAGAGATACTTACTGCTGGAGTTATACAAGAAATGGACAGTACACAGTTAAATATGGATATTGGGTTGCAAGGAACATATTAATGAAGGAGGAGGAAGCTGTGGTTTGTGAACCTAGTATCACAAAACTCCAAACACATGCTTGGAAGGTCAAAACACCCCAAAAGATGTGCCATCTTATGTGGCAAATAATTACAGGTCATGTAGCTGTTACTAGCACTCTGAACTATAGACACATGAGATGTGATAATCACTGTCCACGTTGTGGGGAGCCAGAAGAATCAGTTTCGCATGCTATCTTTCAATGTGTACCTGCAATGCAAGTTTGGGCTTTATCATCTACGCCTACCAGTCCAACTTTGGTCCCACTACAGAGCACATATGCAAATATGGATTATCTTTTCTGGAGAAAAAATACCATAGTGGAGCCGAAATTAGACAGGGATCCTTATCCCTGGCTAATATGGTACATATGGAAGGCTCGGAATGATAAGATGTTCAGAGGAATCGATAGAGATCCTTTGGAGTTAGCCCGTTACGAAGACTGTGAGTGTCAAGCCTGGTTCCAAGCCAATGAACATGCTATATCGCCATCTCAAGGAAACATAGACGTGGAAAACCAGGCCATTAGTCTGGGAAACATCTGTATGGTAGACGGCTCTTGGACCTCTACAGATCAGTTTAGTGGATGTGGTTGGGCCTGGAATGATAGTACTGGAATTAGCCAGTTAATAGGTATGCGTAAGTTTATTCGAGTGGAGTCTGCTTTGCACTCTGAGCTGGAAGCACTGCGGTGGGCAATGGAGAATATGATTCAACATTTGCCATGTCAGAGCTTTGGGACGGACTGCAAGGAGATGATAGCGATGCTCAGGAATCCCTAAGACTGGCCAAGATTCTCAACAAAATTGGAAAGGCTAATGACGTTACAGATTTGCTTCCCGGATTTTAAGATTTTCTACGTTCCTAGGGCTCATATTGGTGTTTCTGATTTTTTAGCTAAAGCTGCTCGATCCTTATATCGAGATCTACTGTATGTTGGTTGTTCTATTCCGGTTTGACTTCCCCAACCATCTCAAACTTGAGTAATAGATCAGCCTTTTGTTGCAAAAAAAAATAAGAAAAAAAAAATCTGATGAAATGAGAAAGAGAATGAGTACATGCTGAGCAAAAATGATATTTTTATTTTCTTTGTCAATGGTGACGGTCACTTCTGCAATTCTGATGAACATAGTCATCTGAGAAAGAAAGATAAAATTGGGCTATAAATAAATATATTAGATAAATATATAATATAATAGACTAAATATACAACCCATCTATGTTTTCTCGTATAACTAGCTATAGGGTTTCTTTGTACAACTAACAGTATGTCAAGTGCGTCTTTTTACTCTTTTAAGTTTTGGGCCTCATTATGATTTTTCATCTTTTTCATATGTGAAAATTCCATAATTATAGAATATTTTCCGTGCAAATCACTCTAAAACGTATTGACATATTTTGATTAAATATTTAGTAATTCTTGTTTAAGGTTTAGTAATAATAAATATTTTGTGGAAATTTCTCGCATTATTTAACCATGTCGGGCTAATACTAGTTGTAGTTCTTATTTTGATTGCGAGAGATCCTCCACCAAAGTGATTTCCACATGATCTAAGGTAGATTTTCTCCATTATCTTCTTCGCTTTATTTCCTTCGACTAATATAATGAGTGGTCCAGAGAGTCTCCATTTGTAGATTTCTCTATTCATCGATCATAACATACTTGGTGGCTTGGGGTTTTGATATTTTGCCGCCCATTTCTCGGTTAGAAGTTTTCTGTCGGCAATGTATACACGGATAGCTTCCAACCACAGTTTGTCACAACTATATTTGGGTGGCACCTAATTTTCCCCGGAGCGAAAATTAATTTCATCCGTTATGTTTCATGCGAGTGGATCAGGTTTGCGAGAGTACGATTTTTTCTGACAAACTTATGTCCATTGTAAAAAATTTTGATAAATTTCTCAACAATTTTTTCTACAGACTATTTTGTTGGGAATCTACCAAAAAATAGTCGGCATAATAGCAAAAACTCATAGCCCATTTCATCGGTAAACCCTTTTTCTTCAACGAACTCCCAATAGCTTTCTGTTGAGAAATGTCTATTTTTACGGTGCTTGTTACTATCAAACTAAAACCCTAGAAACAAGTTCCCCCGAATCTATTTCATTTTCGGTGTATTATGAAGTTGGATCGGGTTCGAAACATCTGTGATTTGGGCAGGCACTATGTTACATCTGGATGTATCTTAATCTCTGTGCACCAGTAAAAGCCCAAAATTCGTCATAGGTGCTATCAAGGTTGATATCTGAGGGGGTATGTCTTTTTCGGTTTAAGAAAATTTACTTTTTATAGATAATTATGTATTCCTATAGGGAAATGAAATCGGGTTTTGAAGCTACTATAAATATGGGTTTAAGGGATTGTAAAGTTATTCATTCACACAATAATATACAAATCCTAAACGGGTATTTGCCTCAATTCGTTTTTGCTCTCTTTGCTTTTCTTCGAGTTTATTCGCGTTTGTTCACATGTTTGTTAAATGCAATTTAGAGTTTATTCTCTTATTCAGATATTTTGATTAGCGCGAGGGAACTGGCAGAACTGAAAAAATGAAAAGGGGGACGGAATAATCTGAAGCAATTTTATATTTTCAAGGAGGTTTATAAGAAATTGGTAATCTAGAAATTTATATAGCATTCTTAGTCTGCATGGAGTTTTAGACTGTCAACTGAATTATTATTTTCAAATCTTCAAATATGAGCGTATAATTAACCCGGAATTTTTAGGATAAGGCTTTTCGCAGAAGTTAATAAACTATTTTTTTAACTTTTAACTAAAAAACTAAGAAACGGTTTTTAAAGTCCTTATTTAAGAACCGGTTCTTAACTTTTTTATTTAAAAGTTAGAAAACAGTTTTTTAACTTCTACTAAAAATTTCGAGTTAATCATGGTCTTATTTTCAAGTTTTAGTAGAAGTTAAAAAACTGCTTTTTAACTTTAACTAAAAATGTTAAAAAATCGATTCTTAAATAAAGATTTTAAAAATCGGTTCTTAACTTTTTTTAATTAAAAATTAAAAAACAGTTTTTAACTTGTACTAAAAATTTCAAGTTAATCGTGATCTTATTTTTAAGTTTTTCTTATGTCACCCTACCGATTTCACATTATGCTAAAGGTTGTCTATACTTCCTATTTCACAACACATCAAAAAGATTTCCCTAAATTATTTGTACTGAACCTAACCAATTTTTTTAATCTATGATAAATGACGACGCGAACGAGGACGATAACAACAACAAAATAAAACCCAAGAGCTAGACACGTGAATGACGACCCAACTTTCTGAATAATAATAGTACAATTCAATTAATGGCGTCTTCTTATTTCTCGAGAGCCTCCTATATATTATTCCTTTGTATAGAACACTCTCCTCCTTACCTTTTGTAAACACCAATTTTATTTGCATTTCCAAACACAACAGCAACGAAATCTCTTTTTAAGGAAAAAAATTACTATGGCTTATGTCCTCAAGACACAACAGGACCTCGAACTCTCCGGAAAGAAACGAAACGACCGAGATGATGAAGATGGAGACGCCATGGTTTCAAAGAAATCTTCACTGACTCCCACTCAAGCGGATCCTGCAGCAGCACTGGCATGCATCCGACACGAATTTGGGGAGCACGGCGGAGTGAACATGTCAATCGAGGCCTCCGCCACTTTCACCGTCATGGAACCAGATACCATGAGACGTATATTTTCCGGAGAACTGGGACCGGAAAATGACTTCTTCGTTTACAGCCGACACTTTAACCCCACCGTCCTCAACCTCAGCCGCCAGATGGCTGCTCTCGAAGGCACACAAGCCGCCTACTGTACCTCAAGCGGTAATTATATTATGAAAATATGAATTATATATATATATGTGTATATATATTTAGACCCATGAACCTAGTTGAGTTTGATAAAGGAATCTTTGGTAGAACTTGAACTTTAAATGTTCCAAGTAAAAATTAGAAAATGGAAGCCAAATATTTATAATATTGGGATGGACGCCAGGTATGTCGGCGATCTCGTCGGTGTTGCTGCAACTATGCAGCAGTGGGGGACACGTGGTTGCTTCAAAGACACTCTACGGAGGAACACATGCTTTGCTCTCTCATTTCTTGCCACGAACTTGCAACATAACCACGTCCTTTGTCGACATAACGGACCACTCCGCGGTAGCAGACGCGATCGTCGAGGGTAAGACACAGGTCCTCTATTTTGAGTCGATGGCCAACCCAACGCTGACTGTGGCCGACACACCTGAGCTGAGTCGTATGGCACACGAGAAAGGCGTGACGGTGGTGGTGGACAACACATTCACCCCCATGGTGTTATCTCCAGCCAAGTTTGGAGCAGATGTGGTGGTTCACAGTATCTCAAAGTTCATTAGTGGTGGGGCAGACATCATCGCAGGTAACGTGACTTAGTTTTGTATCCAGGTACATATTTGGTTTCACATTCACGTGAGGGAGAAATGCATAAATAACCGTACATGTGTCTTTCTCGTGACCTAATAAGTAGGGGCCGTGTGTGGGAGCGAGAAGCTGGTGAAAGGGATGATGGATCTGCGTGGTGGGTCTCTAATGCTGTTGGGTCCCACAATGAACGCCAAGGTGGCCTTTGAGCTCTCCGAGCGGATCCCTCACTTGGGCCTCCGCATGAAAGAGCACAGCCGTAGGGCCCAAGTTTATGCAGAGAGAATGAGGGAGTTGGGAATGAAAGTGATATACCCTGGCCTCAAGGACCACCCGCATCACAAGCTGGCCACAAAAATGGTGAACCGAGAATACGGATACGGAGGGTTGTTGTCAATAGACATGGAGACGGAGGAAAGAGCCAACAAGCTCATGACGTATCTTCAAAACGCCACCCAGTTCGGACTCATTGCCGTCAGTTTGGGTTACTACGAGACACTCATGTCCTGCTCTGGTAGCAGCACCAGCAGCGAGCTCGACTCCTCTCAAAAGGCAGCCGCAGGTATATCTCCTGGCCTTGTACGAATGTCTGTGGGCTATGCGGGTACATTGGAGCAGAAGTGGACACAATTCGAGAAGGCTTTCCTGAGAATGTAATGCCGTCTATATTGTATAATGTGGCCAATATTCTGTCTCTAATTTGTAAGCTCACAATGTTTCATATATGCATTTGGATCTTTAATTTTTGGCATATTTACATACTCAAATTTTTGGTTTGAAACCTCAACTTAAATATTTTGTTGTACCAATTTTGGAAAATGTCTCTACATTCTTTACATTAACATACTCTAATTAAAGAGGATTGGACTGTCAATTATCGAAAGGTTAATTTAATTTGAATGATGGTGAGGATAAGTTGTCGATCTGCCCCCATAAGCTCAAGCTCACGAGCGAATTCCTTCTCCCTACCAACAACAGTGGTAATGTGGTCTTTTTGGGACTATGTAAATTCTGGTACATGGTGCTTTCCTCTTGACGCCATAGCTGCACTGCACCTGGATCAGCTCATCCTGGCAGCCCTGGAAGACGCTGACATCACAGTTCACGTTGTCATGAACATGGTCAAGATAAGCTTCCACTTTGGTATGGCGAAGAGAAATATATTGTGAAAGTATTGTGTATTATTAATGTATCACGATGAATCTATATATATATATATACAACATAAGATGTTCTAAAGGTTACATAAAGTATAATGTAAATAGGAAACTCTATATTATTGTGTTTATCTCTTTACTCCCCCTCAACTTCGCAATGAGATATGAGATATCTTGAATGCCTAACTTCAACAACAAGTATTTAAATCTCGGAGTGGAAATAGCTTTAGTAAGAAGAGCAGCTGGTTGTTTTTTTTTGTAGAAATATGCTCCAGTACGAAAGTTTGTCTTGGTCGTCATCTCGAGTCATATGACAATCGTTCTCAACGTTCATGGAAGACCCGATTTATAGCAATATATATTGCAGATTTACTATCACTAGAAGATGATCAAGTTAATGCGTCAAACCAAGCATGAGAAGCACTCGCTTGAGCTATTTTAATTCGCACGTAGTGTCGGCCATGGCTCTATGTTCGGCCTCGGCTCAGACATACGTTTCTTTTGTAGAAGCCGGAAAACCAAATCGACTTAAACGATATAAGAAAGATGGAGTTAAGGAAACAGACGATTATATAAGACACGGAGGCCAGATAAATCTTTTTCTTTAACTCTTAACTAGATTTTGACCCGCGCTTAAAAGCGCGTAAATTTTTTATGATTAAAAATTTATATAATTGAGTTTTGTCTTAGTTTAAAGAATATTTTGATATAAAACCAGTTCAGCAAAATTTGTGGTGATGATTGTTTTTCATTAGTTTTTATTTTTAGATTTTGGTTTTTGGTTTTTGGTTTTTAGTTTTTAAGTTTCTACTTTTCATTTTCAGTTTTTGGTTTGGGTTTTTAATTTTTAAACTCGCTAAGTTAGTTTGAACTAATAATACCAACAAACAAATCTCAAATAATCGAACATCTAATTCAAAACTGAAAAGATGACAACAAATTAAAAAAAAAATTGAAATAGTTTATTTTGTAATTAAACAAAGCAAAAGTATAACATGTGTTTTTAGCTTTTGGTTTTGGATTTTAGTTTTTAGATTTGGTTTTTGGTTTTGCTTTACATTTTTTTAATCTGTAAATTATTTAAGAAAAATAAAATAATAAATTATTTAAAAGTTACCATTGAAATTTATCAAAACAAAGTGATTGTTACTTAAAATAAAAATATATATTAACATGTTTTAAAGTACACTAGATTTTTACCCGCGCAACCGCGCGGGTGTTTGTTTTCGTTTAGTTATCTTGTTTCAATTTTATTTTTAATCCCTAATATGGAAGTCACCTTTTTCTTTCCTTGGGCAGTACCTCCCAACAATTTATAGTTATTTATATAAACATTTTGTTTTCACTTGTAAATTGGTATATATTATAGTAATCACATATTTATAATATGTATAGTAAATGTTTTTCAAACATAATAATATTATATAATACGTGCTTTAATCAAATAGATTGTTTCAAATTTTCTATATTATACATGTTTTTCAAACATGTGTTTGTTTCTTTTTCTATATTTTATTGTTTGTTAGATTAGTATTTCATTTTTAGATAAAGTAATATAAATAGAGCTTGATTAAATATTAGTATACTTTAATTTGCAAAGATAATATAAACTTCGAATAAATTTTTGCTACAAACTAAACTTATAGCTTCATAAATCAATATTATAAAGAATTTTATTAAAAAAGATTTTTTAAACAATTTATTTTTTAAAACAATATAATTTCAAAAATTTACAGCGAAATAAATTTATCAAGTATATATAGCGTGTAAATTTTGTTAGGGTATATAAATATTCCATATTACGAATCTGTGATTTTTGTTAATATATTGTGGATGCATTTAACTATTATTGACATATTTCCTTATAAATAATAGAAGATTTCTAAACTTGTATCTATTGACATATTTTGCGTGACTAAGGTGGAAGGTGTGGGGTAATTTACCAAAACCAAATTGTTAAGTGTATATTTGTTATTATAGATATGATTTTTCATAAGATATAATAATGATAAGATTATTAGAGAGCTAATGTAACATGACTTTCTAGTAACAGTCCATTTTTTAAAAAATCACACATGAAGTCAAGTCATGACTTCTGTTTTAATATATAAGATGATTTAAATAAATGATTAATAATAGATAATTTTGTTTTGTTAAAAATATTAAATACCTTTTGGGTCTGAAAATAATAATTGATTCTTTTATCTTTTAAGGTGAAAAGTTTATTCAATGTTTTTAGAGTTTTTTTCCTAATACTAAGCCCAAAAACCAAACTATATAATTTATTCAAAAAATAAAAGTAAGCCCAAGACTATATTCCATAAATAACCACTGGTTTAATTTAAATATAATTAGTAGATTTCCATATTCCATATTTTGATGATATATATTCTTTTAGAACATTCCATATTTGTAGGAGAAACTATGTGTTTTCGGTATACACATAGATACCTGCCATATTTTGAATGTAGTTTACATTAATATCGTCTCTTTACATTAATTGTGTTGGTTTAATTTCAGTAATACGGTTCATTCAATTATATGACTTATATTATTTGTAACATTCTAGAAATGGTCCAAATTTAAATGACAACTTGTATCAGTAGATAAAAAGAATGACTCTGTTTTAATATAGTAGATATTCGCTGACTGTACGAATATTGAGTCCCAGGATACAACTATGGCAGACGAATCATGCTTCACTCGTGAAACGACCTAACGAACTAAAATTCTACGAACACTCTCTGAAAACTTACTCTGAGAGATTGCTGGATTTTTTTCTGTGTAAAAACGATTAAGGAATGAAGAAGAGAAGCGAGTTTATTTAAAGAGAGACGAGAGCCACATCCCACAACAACTGCTGCACGTGAGCGAGAATCTCGCGAAGATCGAGGGAAGTTGAGTAGCGAAATCTTTTTCCGCAAGACTCTCTCTTTTCTCGTTTAAATATCTGAGAGGATATACTGCGTGACGTTTTTTTATTTGTTAGACAAACTACTTGTGGTTTTAAATAAAATTGCATGCTGTTTTTTGAAGTTTAAATGGTAAAGCATTGAGCTTAATTTGGTCCAAAAAGATAACTTCTTATCGGGCCAGAGGCCCTCCAAGCCCACGCCCACGCCCACGCCCACGCCGAGCCGGACGGCGGCGGCGGCGCGCGCGTGGGGAGCTCTCTCCACCTCTGAGCCGTTTGAACCAAAGTAAGAGACATAGCATATATATATGGGTGAATCTCCCTTCTTTTAGTCGATGTGGGACTTGCTCCCTTTCACTTCATTTAATCAGAAAAGGCTAGGCCCATTTCTCTTCACTTAATGACAATTATTGATAAGCCTTGGGCTTAATAAGAATTGATCCAACAATCCCCACATGAATACAAATGACTCTAAACATATGCAGACTCGATATACTAAAAAAAAACTTATTCTAATCCTGACTAGACTAGACAGACTTATCGAGAGTGTTTGCGAAAATTAAACTGTGTTTGAGTTGGTGGCATTTTTAATCCTTGAACCACTCATATTTAATATTTGTCGGGTTTACTTTACTAGAAGGTGAACATGATGTCTTGAACCAACCGATGTTTTATGTAGACCGAGACAACATGTGTGGGTGTCGATTTCCACTAACTGTCAAATCAATCGTAAATAAGGATACTTCGGGAAAACCCTAATTTTCCAGAGGAACCGGCTATCTGCGAGAACCGCACAACGAATAATAAGAAAACGATAACTTAGAATTTGAATGAAAATAAATGAAATAGAGAGCAAAGAGGTTCTTATTCCGAATCTGCGTAGAACTGGTACAAAAGAGTAGCCGAAAAGCTTAAGAACGAAAACCCTAATTGAGACGCAGCTCGCTAACAGAAAAACGGAAATATTCCTAAATGCTAGTTTTGGTGGTCAGAGCTCTGAATTTCGTGTGTGTGCTTCTGCCCTAGACCTCCTCTTTATATACCCCTTGTCTTGGCTATCCGATCTTTCCATTTCGCCCGGATTTGACTAACTCGGGAATTTTCCATTCTTCTCGATCCTTCCTTTTCTTCCGCGGAAATCTTCTATTTCTCTTCAAACCTTTCCTTTTATCTTTAAACTTGACTTTTATTTTCCTTCTGCGAGTAAACCGTCAAAACGTTATCAAATCTGCGGGTTTGATTCCGTTGAAATCGCGAGATGGGTTTTTATCGCGTTTTAGGTCCTTCCGGGCCGTTTTGTGATAAAAACCGTTTTCCGACTTTTACAGGATCGTTTCCCGATCTGACGTCGTTTTTAATAAATTTCTCGAGTTAATCGCAAAGTTTTACGATTTACTCGACTTTTTATTAAAAACACGTTTTTTACGACTTACTCGGAGTTTTTTATTAAAAGCGCGTTTTTTTATGATTTCAACGAGAAATCTCGAATAAATCGTATAGTTTAGGCAATGTTCGGTGTTTCGGTTAACCTTTGCCGTTTTATACGATTTCCTCGAGTTCTTTCCGAGAAAACGAAGTTTTACGGTTTTTATCGTAAAACTCGAACGATAAGTCGGATCGAGATGGAACGGGAGATATTTCGGCCGTGGTTTCTAACGTGACCTTGTCGAAAGACGTAAGTTTCGAATCGGGAATGCGGGAAATCGAGACGCGGAGTGTCCGGGACGT